CCCCAAAACCCCAAAACCCCAAAACCCCAAAACCCCAAAACCCCAAAACCCCAAAATGATCACCAGTGGTTGGGATTTATAGTTATTATTGTGAGGTTATTACTTTCATGACTGGGAGATCTGAGAATTCTATTTTCTCTTCAATAATTAATTTCCAGTATTTATGACGAAAAATAGCTTCTTTGACCAGTTCATGTAGGATATCAGGAGGTATAAAGACTCTTAGGGTCGGCTTGTTCGGTAGTACTGGTTCTGAGTGTACCAACTCTTTGCCTGCAAGCAGCTGCACTGCATTTTTCTTGTTCATTGAAGTTGTATGAGCTTTTGTGGCTGTTTTGCAATCTTCAGTCCATTTTTCAAGGTCTCTGAAGTGCTTATTTTCTCATAAAACTATAGTAACTACAGTTTAGAGCTAAAGCCTTACTTTCTGATGTAAAACAGTCTGATTTTTATTGGCACACCATTCTCAAGAGGCGATTGACCCTTAGATGGAGAGGAAGCAAATGAACTTTTAAATCTTTGATTTTTAAGCTCTTGTTTCTCAATTTTATCCCATTGAAAATTTGTGATTCAGTGCTTGAAACGTTGGTGTCTGATGTGTATCTTGAGGTTACGCTTCAGCCTTTGAATTAGACGAGCGTATCTTAGGAATCATCTAAGAGTTACTTTTAGAGGAATACTTGTTTGGGTCGTTAGGATATTGCATTGTGCGTAGAAGGAAATTACGAATGACATTCACTCTTCTTCTCTGAATACATTTTATTTTTGGCTTCATGTAAGTCTAAACATCAGAAAGAACTTAATACGATTAAATATCTGTAAATAATCTTCTTAGCAATTATTTCCTTAGCTTTATTTATGTCTCACCATCCACATCCCACAAGCCTTCAATATCCAACAAGTTCTCTTGCCTATTTCCTTCGCTCTACTCAAATTCTGCTTTCTCAGCATGAATTTTTCCGATATGAGTCTTCCCATAACAGGCAAAATAGCACCTAAAACTAAACAAATCCCTCACCTTCAGCATAACTATCACACACAGAACGTATATTCTTCTCACTGAACATCTCCTTTCGTTTTTCCCTTTCGCGATGCTTTGTAAAAATACGGTCTAGGGACAGGTATGAGGCAGCGTCTTACTTCTGTTGGATTGGAGGATTTTGTCTTTGAAGGCTTTTGAGAGTTTTATTTGGAGCTTATTTGTGGGTCATTAGGGCCTGCTGTCTTTGGAGAAGGGAGGGTTTTGAAATACCTCAAATTGGTTTCGCACTTGAAAAATTCAAACTTTTGCTGTGCAGAGATGGTAGAGGAAATTTGGCCTTCTTTAGAGTCTTCAAGTGTGCCATAGCTGGTATCTTGAGGATATCTGAGTTAGCCATCAATCTTTCAGCAATTTTATCAACATCATGGATTATATTACCATTCTTCGTCTTAATAAGGAGCTGATTCGACTCTTCTGAAGGAGTTTGAGGCATTATCGGGAAATAATTATTCTTAAAAGTGTAGACAGTAGGGCCTGACTTGTTGCGGTTTAAGGTTCGAATACTACTTCTCCTAGGCAATTATCGGTATACTTTACTCATTACTATAGCATCTGCGTGCTCTCTTTGCACTCTTTCCAGTACGCATTGACATCTTTGGGCTGATAGTTCCACTATCGTTGTAATAACTTGAAATAGCTTCTTTGAACTTATCATTATTTGCTCTTGAGAAGGTGTAGGAGACGTTACTTTCTTTCAGAAGTGACTGGTGGTTTAGCATTTAATGATCGGAATTTAATCTCACCGTATTCAGTTCTTTGGGAAGACCTACTTTTAAAACCATTGAGTCTGAGCTCTCTTCCGTACATTGATACATATCCTGTTTGCTTATCGGCCATCTTTCCGCCTAGAGGATTAGGCTGATAATGAGGGGCTCTACCTGGGAGTTCAATGCGTGCATTACGATTACAAATACTTTTTGTATTTTTCCTTTCACTCTTTTGAAGACCTGTTGCAATTTTGTAAGGGAATATTTCTTTTGTCATGTGTTTACTTTTCTTCCTGAGAATAAGTCAAAAAATGTGGGAGAATTGATTTTTGATGCTTGAATAATGAAATAGGGGGACTTTTAATAGAACTATCAAGAGAAAGTTCGATATTGAGTATACTTACCTCCTCATTGGATCAATTAATTTTTTTTAATTTTACCTAAAAATGAAATAATTTAATAAATCTTAAAAAATTTTGGGGTTTTGGGGTTTTGGGGTTTTGGGGTTTTGGGG